CTGGAGGGCCGGAGTCCTGCAGAGTTTAGCTCCAACTTGCCTCGACACACCTGCCTGGAAGTTTCTAGTATGCTTAGTAAGACCTATTTAGCTGGTTCATGTGTGCTTAATTAGGTTTGGAGCTGAACTCTGCAGGACTCCGGCCCTCCCGAACTGAGTTTGGAGACCCTAGCACATGTCTACATGGAAAACCAATAGAAAAGTAGCGCAGTGGAATGGGTTAAGAGATGGGTTAAATTCAAAATGTATTTCGAAGAGATCAAAGGAAAAACGGCCAGACGTACAATCCATTAATTGTCATTGAAATGAATAAATGGACATTCAGATGTCCAGCTCATGAGGAAATACAGTCTTGGTTCCTGAAGTGTTAAAATCACATGTATGTCGCGGTGAATGTAAATCATCACACACCCGCTTCCACACAAAGCTCCTTTGCCAAGGTGTGTTCACAACTAAAACTGTATGAAGGAATTCCGTGTCCTCCGTTTCTGTAGCCAGGCCTTATACGTAACCAGTAGTCACAATACAACACACACACACACACTCAGACTGAAGTCTACCTCCACCCAATCAACTACACCACGTGAGAGGAAAAAATAAAGATCTATGTTGATGGGTATGTCGTTTCCGCCTGAGAGAAACTTCATGGAAAAATCAGTGCATATGGGGGAACTCCTACTGTCAAGGGGGATGATATGGCATTGCCCTTCCTTAGCAAATTGCCAGGTTTATGCTCTTTATTTCACATTTTACAGATATTATCGCTCAGTTCTGTTGGTAGCACCAGATAGAAGCAGATTTGCGATGGGATATTGATCATTTTGTTTAACTTGAATAATTGCATCCTTTTTCTGGGAATGTTTTGTTAGTGTTGTTTGCTATCACTATTTTTTTATTTATTTGTTTATTTATTTATTTATTTATTTTACCCTCAGGTATATGGTCTTAAAATTGATCACAAAAAATTGGAGCAATGAAGCAATTGACATCCAAACATCTGTTGATAATTTGACCCTAGTCCAAGCAGCCTGGCTGAAACTTGAGAGATTGTTCTTTCACAATGAGATAAAGTGTTACGAACCCAACCCACAAAGCCACGTGTGAAGTCCAAGCCTCAATGTGTTCTTCTGTTTGAGGTTAGGAGGTTATTAAACTATGAATGTTCCCTATTGCTCCTCCGAGGGTCTTTAACACGCTAAAAAATTGAGCTGCACCTGCATTCAGACGGGACTTTATGCTCCCTCCCTTCCTCTCAGTACATCTACAAGCAATTTGGTTCTTGTCAATAAAAAAGAAGGGAAATGTTTCAGTAGGGTGTTTTACTTTATAACGTCTAGCCCCGCCAAATTATATTTGGGGACAAGACCTTTTCCACTTGTGTTGACCATTCAGGATATGTATTCTCTAAAAGTTTCCACCAAAAAATGTGAAAAGTTCCCATGGCAACTTTTGCAAAACAAGGTGAAGTGCTCACTGGAGACTTACGGCCTGATGTTTCTATTGTTTTGAGGGACAGTCATTAAATGTGTTGTAGATGTAGTTGACTCATGGCTGGTTTTGGTCATCTGAGAGCAAAGCAAGTGTGATGACCAAACTGTGGTTTGTCTGTCTGAATGCTCTCCAGGGACTGTATAACCTCAGAACAACTTGTTTTCTTTCTTGATAATATGAGGTATCCTTTTGTCTTCAGGATAATGGTTTCATTCTTCAAAAAGACACAATCAATCCAACCCGAGTCATTTTATCACATTCTGATCATATTTTCTGAAAATGTCAACTCGGCTTTCTTCCACTTAAGATGGCTAAACTTCAAGATCACACAGCTAAACTATAACACTCTATGTCCATTATTATTATTATTATTATTATCACAATATGAAAATGTATTTGCATGTGTAGTGTAAATGGTTCCTTGTTTGGTTCACCCCAAAATAAAAATGTTGGCATCATTTGAATGTCATTATCCTCATGGTGTTTTAAACTTTCTTCTTTGAAACACAAACAAAGATGCTTTTCACATATCTTTTCCATACATTTTCTTGGCTGTTGACCAGAGCTGGGTAGATCACTAACAAGTCCAGTACTGATCCCAAATGGCATGCCAAAAATTGTAGTTAGAAACGCAATCCATTATATTACACATTTTAGATAAATATAACTTTTATGATTACTTTTAGATTACTTTTGACCTAACATGCTTATCACATTGTTTAAATAGAATAGTTTTGTACCATATTGATGTCAAAATACAAAGAGAAAGAAAATATATTCGCTGTTAATAACATCATGAAATCCATTAAACATTACATTACAACAAGGTTTCCTGAACTCAGGTTTGTGAATTCAATGAAAAGCTAAAAATGTATTAAATAATAATTAAAAAAAAAATGTAAAAAATAAATTAAATTATTTTAAAATAATAATAATAAAAATAAAACACTTACTAAAAATATGTAATTTGTTTACCTGCGTGTCACGTTACCATTAACCAAACTTGAAAACTCAAAGATTTTCTGAATATACTTAAGTGGTAGGCTGTTTTAGAAAGGAAAATTTAAAAGATAAAAAAGAAGAATTTGGGAGAATCAATAAATGATGAGTCATTTATTGCTATTGTGTGAATATGTAATCTGATCAATAAAAAAGTAACTGTAGTCTGATTATGAGTATTTTAAAATGTAATATAATCTAATTACAAGTGCTTATTTTATTGGAATCTGATTACATAATCCATATTACATGTAATCAGTTACTACCCAGCACTTTATAGCAGATAGGGGAGTTCAATAAGAGATACTAATTGATTTAACAGGTTAGAGGCAACACAATTATCTGTGCTCCAAAAATTTGAAGTGCTTTCCACATTTCACACAAAAGGCAGAGGCATTCTGCATTTAACCTGTCAGCTATATTCCAAGTCCTAATGTGGCACTTTCATTTCTGGAAAAAGGTTGAAATGGACATTTTACTGACATTTACTGAATATCATCCATTCTGCTGTAGCTGTGCTTGCATACATTTGAACTTGAGGTGCCAACACACGTATATGACAGTTCGTAACTATATTACATTTTGGTGAATTGATGGCAAATTCATACATTCTCATTTGTACGTTTCCGTACAATCTGGAGCTTTTTTTTTTTTTTTAGGAAACAAATCATATAAAACTTTAAAAGAAACTGACAATTTGTAAAATAGTTGTTTTCTCAAGAGATTGCATTATACAGACACATTTCTCAGGTTTGATATCATTGAATCAGTTGTTGTTGATTCTCACGTGTCTTGTCACAATTATTATTGACATCAAAACTGCCTCTTAACAATCCGTAATTAAATATAAATGGTGGCTCAACACCTTTCATCCCCATTAAGTAAATAATCTCTTTTTTTTTGTATCTGTACACAATGCTGTAGCTTTCTTCAAAAAAGCTCCCAAATCACCTTTAGATCTCTCTCTTTTTTTTTTTTTTTTACTGTCTGGATGTGCCGTGGCAGGGCACAAATCAGAATCAGAATCAGAATCAGAATTAGCTTTATTCGCCAGGTGTGCAAACACACGAGGAATTTGTTGTGGTTTCTTAAGGTGCTCCTGGTCCATACAGTACATACATGCATACATACATACATACATACACATCTGACATGAGAACAGAAAAAAACAAACAAAAAAATTAAAAATAAAAAAAACATATTTAAATAGTAAAACTTAACAATAAATAATGTGTATGAATCCGGAACAGTAGATTTATGTACAGATTTGTGCATCATTTACTCTATATAGAACTGTATAAATAAAGAGATATGCATATGTATTTACATAATACTTGAGAAAGAGGCAATAATTAAGGATGTAGAATGAATTACAGAGATGAATTACAGAACGCAGGTAATGATTCATATGTTAGCTGTTTAAGCTGGAGATGGCATGGGGGAAAAAACTGTTTTTATGCCTAGATGTTCTAGTGCACAGAGATCTGTAGCGTCTGCCGGAGGGGAGAAGTGCAAACAGGTTGTGTCCGGGGTGAGAGGGGTCTTTGATGATGTTTCCTGCCCATTTCTTCACTCTGGAGTCGTACAAGTACATCACAGAAGTAAATCACTTCTAGCTCAGAGAAACGAAACATTTCAGATTCTTGTGAAAGGCAGAAGTCACACTACCTCAGTCTTTCCACTGAATGCCTGCAGGGTGAAAAAACCCTCACTGCCTAAATATTCTCATTTTCCAGCAGCACAATTCCTTCCAAGAACTGTTCTGCTCTTATCACCTCATAATCACTCTACTCCCCTCACCTTTTAGGAAGTACGATATGTTTTGATTGACATGTTCAAATACTATATATATATTATAATATACTACTAGGGCTTCTTAAAATGTCAAGACCCTGGACATTCTCTCAACAAATTTTTACGAGGTGCAGGGCTGCTTTTAAAGAGTTTATTTTTATTTATTTATTTTTTTTTGTCTCTTAATAGGACATCAAATATAAAACATGTAACCTCTCTGGTGCTGTTCGGACTGAAAT